CACACACACACACACACACACACACACATAGCTCCCTCACTGCATGGAGGGAGGAAGCGTGCAGCATGGGTAACAGCTTACTTTTTCGCCTAGGCTTTAACTACACATACGTAGAAACAATAATCCCATAGTCTACATCAACTGATAGTGGCCTTTACTATGTATGTATGTATGTATGTATGTATGTATGTATGTATGTATGTATGTATATGTATATATATATATATATATATATATATATATATATATATATATATACACACGCACATATTTATACATAGTATACATATGTATTTATGTGCGGGTATATATATGTATATACACTGACGTACGAATACATGGCAACAAAACGACATTGGAGCTGCATACCATTCCTCGCGCTATGCAGGTTATCAGTGCTTGATTATGCATGGTTTACAAGGAAGAATTTTGCGGCCATGACCTCATTCACACACCTGTCTCATGCACCACGTGGTGTTGAGTGCTTGGAGGCCGTAAAATAATCGTTTTCCTGATTGCATGCACAGACGTTAATGCTTGCGTTCGAACTTTTGTATTCATGACCGTATTGTTAGTGGTGAATATGGCGTTTAAATGATAGGCGGTTTTGTTTTTTTGTTTTTTTTCGCTTTTTCGTCTGTGGTTCGGAATGTTAAGGTTAAGGTGGTCGAAGTTGGTTTATTTCGTTGTGTGGCTTTTTGGTTTGTTTATTCATATTTTTCTCGCTTTATTTTTCCCCCTTTCTTCCTCCTACCTCCCGCCCCTTTTCTCTCTCTCTCTTCTTCTCTTCCTCTCTCCTCTTCCCTCTCTCCCTCTCTCCCTCTCTCTCTCTCTCTCTCTCTCTCTCTCTCTCTCTCTCTCTCTCTCTCTCTCTCTCTCTCTCTCTCTCTCTCTCTCTCTCTCGCTCTCTCTCTCTCTTTATCTTTCTCTCTTTCTTGCCCTCCCTCCCTCCCTCCTTACCCCTCTCTCTCTCTCTTTCTCACTCTCTCCCCCTCCCTCCCTCTCTCTCTCTCTCTCTCTCTCTCTCTCTCTCTCTCTCTCTCTCTCTCTCTCTCTCTCTCTCTCTCCCTCTCCCTCTCCCTCTCCCTCTCCCTCTCCCTCTCCCTCCCTCTCCCTCTCCCTCCCTCTCCCTCCCCCTCCCCCTCTCCCTCTCCCTCCCTCTCCCTCCCTCTCCCTCCCTCTCTCTCCGTCTTCCTTTCCCTCTTCCTTTCCCTCTCCCTCTCCCTCTCCCTCCCTCTCCCTCCGTCTACCTTTCCCTCTCCTTCCCACTCTCTCTCCTTCACACTTTCTTGCTCTCTACCTCCCCCCAATACACATCTGCACTACCGTTATATAAATCCTTCTCCCTCTTCACGGGCCGCATCTAAACAGGCAAGCGAGTGAGTATTGGTCCTTGTTGTTTTGCGCGTAGTCACTGAACTCTTTAATGAGGAAATTGAGTAAGCTCGTTCATCGTTGATTATTAAGCTCTGTCTTCATGTATTCTCACCCGTGGCGTCAGTGAGTAATAACGAATATTTCAAGCGAGAAATAATTTTTTAAAAATTGGTCATCCCGCGTCGCTATACTCTCTCGCTCACTCTCCATCACTGTTTGTATGGCCACGTCTATAGGTTCTACAGTGTTATACAAAGCGGGAAGAGCTAATACTTAACCTCTCTCGCTTGTATCCTACAGTTTAAGCGTTTACTCAGTGACAACACACAAATGAGTTGGAAAAAGAAATAGTTTATTCAAAGTTTACTCATCAAATATTTTGTTCATTAAGGAGACACAATTGAAATAGTTCCCTCCCGCAACTGACGATATATTAAGACATTAATATAATCAATTTCACACACACACACACACACACACACACACACACACACACACACACACGCACGCACGAACGAACGCACGCACGCACGCACGCACGCACACACACACACACACACACACACACACACACCTCTCTCGCTCTCTCGCTTGTATCCTACAGTTTAAGCGTTTACTCAGTGACAACACACAAATGAGTTGGAAAAAGAAATAGTTTATTCAAAGTTTACTCATCAAATATTTTGTTCATTAAGGAGACACAATTGAAATAGTTCCCTCCCGCAACTGACGATATATTAAGACATTAATATAATCAATTTCATAAACGCACACAAAGTACGCAATATATACAAGCCAAAAAACATAAACTAGCCAATAAAAAAACAGGAAATATAACCAGGCAGACACACAGTAATAAGTACGACCATAACGAACGTGATAAATGACGAAACTCATGCAGTCACGCGTTTGGAGGAAATGACATATGGAAAGTAGAGGAGGGAACGATACAGTTAATCTCGAGGCATTAGGCCTAAATGAGTTCGCATGAACACACAGATGGATACATCCAAACACACACACACACACACACACACACACACACACACACACACACACGCACGCACGAACGAACGCACGCACGCACGCACGCACGCACACACACACACACACACACACACAC